AACTTTATGCATATTTCAATAATGATTATCTTTATAACGATGCAAGTGAAGATATTATTCTTAATTTAAAATCCACTTTATTCGGCTATCTAAAAATTTAAATGATTCTTTAGCCGATAAAATTTTATTTCAGTATGCCTCTATTTTAAGTTTATCGATATCTCTAGCCACAGATTTTGAATTTTGAATACCCTATGTATACATAATTTTTGTTCTCTGAATTATTAAATGTTAAATTAGTTGATCGCTATTATATAACATTGCATATATTGTATTAAAATTGCCAAGTATTATTTTTTCGACACCATATTTAGCTTAACCTCAATGCAAACTACTCAAATTGCATTTAAATTCAAATTCGAATATCATATAAGTTTGTTACTAATAGTGATGTTTTAAAAACGGCACACAATGTAAATTTAAAAAAATATTCTAAGATATTATCTTATAATCTATGTATTTGAGTTGATATTTTTTTTAAATTGATGAGATAAGCTTCCAAATTTTTTTATACTCAACAAAGATGAAATAGAAGAAAAATTTATTGTCATCTCTTATTTCTGGTTTTTACATTTTTCATTAAAAAAATTCTATATTTATTTTCTTTTATCTTATATTTTATGCCTTTCTTTATTTTTTTTAACAAAAAAAAAAATTATTTCGCTATAAAAGTATGAGTTTTAATAGAAATTGTCTACATAAGAACTTTATTTATATTTTTATTCTTTGGTTGAAATTCTTTTATATTTTTCTTTTGGCTTTATCTAATCAACCTAAATAGGTGCACACTCAATCACTTAAATTAAAAATTTGAAGGATGTCTAATTTATATATAATTCATAAATAATATGTGAATAATCGTGTATTGTTGGTATATCATCTATGTATATTAGCTATAAGCAGTAAATAATAAATTTTGCTGGATATTTATGTAAATATTTCATAAGATTTCGGTTTCTTTATTTTATCTATGATAGGACTTCTATTATAATAATTTTAAAAACCCTCTACTATCCGTCAATAATATCTTATCTTTTTATTTTTAAAATTACATAATATTTTCAAAAATAATCTCATTTCGAATAATTTTTTTACATTTTAAAGAATATATATTTCACGTCATACCAAAAATAATTTAAATATACTTTTTGTTACACTTGAAAATTGATATAGACACTATCAATTAGCAATTAATATCCCTCTTGTTGAATTCTTGAGACAAAAAACCTTTCACATAATCTAATGATTCAAAACTAATATTCTTCAACGAAAAAAATATTATACCCTTACAATATTAGCTTGACTGCAGCTAAATGAAGAGGTTTCAGCTTATACCCTTCAATTCCTAGAAGATGCTAAATTGAAATTTATGATAGCAATTGTATAGCCATAGTTTTATTATTTGTTTGATGTCCAATTATACAAATTGACTCTTCAAATAAACATTCTTCAAAAACAAAAAAGATAATTTTTTGAATATTGACGAATTTTAAAGAACTATAATTATGGGGTTTTAAATGTAAAAGAGTTTTATAGTTATATGGAGTAGTTTTTTCTTCTTTTTTTGCCAGAGGCGAAGTAGTATTTAAATAATTAGAAAAAATAAAAAAAGTTCATAACATGATTGTATATGATCATTAACGGAATTAAGTATGATAACATAATTATAAAAGATCAATTTCTCTTTTATTTTAATTTAAATTCAAAAGACTTTATCTATAAATTCAAAATTATCCTTTAGTTCAAATTCAATTTACATATATATATATATATATATATATATATATATATATATATATATATATATATATCTAACTTAAATATAGAATAAAGTTATCAAATATTATTAAAATTTATTAATTTGCCACTTGGTTTAACCATAATGCCAATTATATATGGTAACTTTTTTTCTTTAATATATATATATATATATATATATATATATATATATATATATATATATATAGATAAGAGATTTTAGTCCATTAGGTATATGAGCTTACTAGTAGTCGTACCCGGGCGATGCGCGATCAATATTAAAAAAATATTTGTCACTTTGTTAATTTTTTGATGTTACATTTGGAATTATCACAATTATTTGATTATCCTATNATATCTATATAACTAACTTAAATATAGAATAAAGTTATCGGATATTTCAAACTTTATTCCTTTAATATATATATATATATATATTACATTTTTCATAAAAAATTTCTATATTTATTTTCCTTTATCTTATATTTTATGCCTTTCTTTTTTTTTTTTAACAAAAAAAGATATTTATTTTGCTATAAAAGGATGAGTTTTAACAGAAATTGCCTACATAAGAACTTTATTTAAATTTTTATTCTTTGGTTGAAATTCTTTTATATTTTTCTTTTGGCTTTGTCTAATCAACCTAAATAGGTGCACACTCAACCACTTAAATTAAAAAATTGAAGGATGTCTAATTTATATATAATTCATAAATAATATGTGTATAATCGTGTATTGTTGGTATATCATCTATGTATATTAGCTATAAGCAGTAAATAATAAATTTTGCTGGATATTTATGTAAATATTTCATAAGATTTAAGTTTCTTTATTTTATCTATGATAGGACTTCTATTATAATAATTTTAAAAACCCTCTACTATCCGTCAATAATATCTTATCTTTTTATTTTAAATTTACATAATATTTTCAAAAATAATCTCATTTCGAATAATTTTTTTATATTTTAAAGAATATATATTTCACGTCATATCAAATATAATTTAAATATACTTTTTGTTACACTTGAGAATCGATATAGAAACTATCAATTAGCAATTAATATCCCTCTTGTTGAATTCTTGAGACAAAAAACCTTTCACATAATCCAATGATTCAAAACTAATATTCTTCAACGAAAAAAATATTATACCCTTGCAATAATAGCTTGACTGCAGCTAAATGAAGAGGTTTCAGCTTATACCCTTCAATCCCTATAAGGTGCTAAATTGGAATTTACGATAGCAATTGTATAGCCATAGTTTTATTATTTGTTTGATGTCCATTTATACAAATTGACTCTTCAAATAAACATTCTTCAAAAAGAAAAAAGATAATTTTTTTGAATATTGACAGATTTTAAAGAACTATAATTATGGGGTTTTAAATGTAAAAGAGTTTTATAGTTATATGGAGTAGTTTTTTCTTCTTTTTTTGCCAGAGGCGAAGTAGTATTTAAATAATTAGAAAAAATAAAAAAAGTTCATAACATGATTGCATATGATCATTAACGGAAATTAAGTATGATACCATAATTATAAAAGATCAATTTCTCTTTTATTTTAATTTAAATTCAAAAGACTTTATCTATAAATTCAAAATTATCCTTTAGTTCAAATTCAATTTACATATATATATATATATATATATATATATATATATATATATATATATATATATATCTAACAACATTTACTAATAAGAAAGACCAAGCACATGCAAAAGTAAATATGATAGGCCACTGAAGAAACAGGGAAATCTAATTGATTCAGTTAGAAATAATAAAGTAGTAAGGAGACTCTTCAGCTCCACTTCACAGTAGATAAAACGGGATATAGGAAAGAATGTCACCAACAAGAAATCATAACCCAAAACAAATATGTTCTAAACTGAAATGGGAGGTCAGAGTTGTAAGCAGAATAAAAACAATCTAACAACAAAAGTGAACAT